CAGCTACATGAGATTCAGCCTGACTCTGCTAAAATGCTGGTTCTTCTGCTTTCTGGCTGTGAGACTCCAAAAAAAAAAAAACTATTTAACCTCTCTGAATCTCATTTTTTCTCATTTTAAAACAGCGCTAATAAGACTTACCTCATATTGTGATAGTACGAATTACATGACAAATGACCGATCCAGAGGCTGGGATCTTGACAGACACTCCATCAGAGGTAGCTGTTAATGTTTGTGTTGCCATGTTGTTGCTGAGGGGTTATGTTTTGGGACCCTCACTCACATGGATGGCAGGAAGGTGGGAGTCAGGGTACTGGGTCTCGCTTGTCTGCAGAGTGTGGGCTGAAGATCAACTTGAGTGGGTCCTCCTGGGGGAAGCTAGATCTCAAATTGAGCAGTAGGTCCAAATAGTGACCATTTTCCAAGTAGTGGTCAACCTTGATGGGGTAGGCAGATTTCCTCCTTCTAGACTGCAAATCTGTCATGAGGCAGCAGAATAGTGTGTGGGAGGCGAGAGTGGCATTAGGGTAGGAGGCAGAGCCTTGAGCGATTCCCTAAGCAGAAGTAGCCTCATCACCCACGCTGGAAGCTCCTGGCATGAAGCATCCCTGAATGTACACGGAACTTTGTAATCTCCAGAGTCTTCCACTGTCTGTGTTCACTGTCCTTGCTCCCTGGTACTACTCCAGCCACTGTGCAACTTCGTTAAGGCGTTTTCCACGCCTGTCTGCAGAGGACCCTGGTCTGAGAGATCAGCAGTGGGTAAAGACTCTGAGAAAGCCCTAAGGAGAGCTTTGTGAAGAGCTGCCTAAGCATTTTGGGGAGAAATAAATACTCGATAAACTGTATTTCCCAGAGATCTCTAGGACCTCTGATCCGTTAGTGCAGAGAGTGCCCTGGACATTTTGGCCGATACTGGACAGACATCTGCAGTCCCTTAGCTTCGGGTTTAGGAAAATCAGTCCTTCGCCAGCACTGGAAATTGTCCTTACTTAAACTGTCCATCTAGCTGGATTTCTCCCCCGGAGACAAACATTGCACAGTCTCAGTGTGGAGAATTCTCTAACTGAAACAAGTCATCACATGGGAAAAGATAGACAACTTTTGCAGGCCTTTGTGACTTGTGATTCATAAACCAGTTCTGATCCCTCTTCGGTTCTTCCTTCACTTCTGCACTAGACATTTATTGGGTGCCATGGTTTGCCAAGCGTGGTGCTAGGTGCTGGGTACAGGCTAAGGGAGGTGTCCTTCTTGCCATTTAGCTGCTTCAAGCCTAATTGGACAGCCCTTCCAATAACAGGAAATTATAGCAGTGTGGAAAGTGCTGGGATTGAGGCAAGCCCAGAAGCTGTGCCAGCCCAGAATAGGGGTCTCTAAACAGAGTGTGTATATGGTGGGGCTGTGGGGTTCGGGGGAGCTTTCCCAAATTGTCAGCACCTCACCTGCCCAGAAGAATTAGCAGGCTTTGTCAGCAGGCTTTGGAGACAGATGTCTAAGGCTAAATTCTCGTGCTTTCTAAAATTGCTTAGCAGGAACACTTCTTCTGTCAAATCTAGTATGACTTCATCAGGACTAGCAGGGTCAGTCCAGATGTGTACAATCCTCTCTACCAGCTCAGTCCCAGTTCAAATCCTGCCACCTCTGCAAAGCTTCTAGCATTATACATGATAGAACTGATATCTCTCTTCTTGGGAATCGTTGGCAAGCTGATAATGACATTTTCATATGTTCGTGCTGTGTTACCCGCAGTTCTATTGGCTGTTGCATAAAGACAAGGAGCACTAACTTCTTTCCCTCTGTTCACAGACAGGCTTGCCCTTAAAGCCTGTTGTATAAATGTTTTTTGTTGCTGTAGTGGAATCAGACAGACTGGGCTGGATGGAGGCTCTGGTGTTTACTACGTAATTTCAAGAGAATTACCTAATCTCTTTGAGTCTCAGTTTCTTCATCTACAAAGCAGTAATAACAGTAGGGCTTATCTCATGGAATTGTTGGCACAACTAAATGAGGTATTGTGCTGTGTGAGTTGCTTAGAACTTGAACTTTAGCAAGTGCTTAATGTAGGATTTGTTGGAAATTTTAAAATAGATATATGGCTTTATCAGACCCCATCTCTCATTTCTACATTCCTTTCTATTCAACCATCTACTGAGTAACTCACCTGACTATTTGCTTGAAAAAGGAAATTTGATGGACTTTAGTGATGTCTTTTTTTTTCTTTTTTAAATGATGTCTTCTTTTTTCTTTTTTTAAAAATTCTATCCTAGTTAGCTTGGGCTGCTATAACAAAATGCTATAGACTGGGTGCCTTAAACAGCAGAAGTTTATTTCTCTAGTTCTAGAGACTGGAAGTTCAAGATCAAGGTGTGGGCAGATTTGGTGTCTGGTGAGGGACTGCTTCCTAATTTGTAGACGGCTGTCTTCATGCTGTGTCCTCTCATGCAGAGAAAGAGAGAGCTCTGGTGTCTTTTTCTGTTATAATAAGCACACTAATCCCATGATGGGGCTCCATCCTCACGGCCTCATCTAAACCTAATTACCACCCAAAGGCCCCACCTCCAAAGACCAATTCATTGGGGATTATGGCTTCAACATATGAATTTGGGTGGGACACAAACATTCAGCCCATAGCAACTCTCTTTTCCAACACTGAGAGATAAAAGTTAGAAAAGGGGGAGAGTAAAGAAGTGAGAAAAGAAAGAACTGAGGTAAGCAGAGAAGTTACTTTTTTCTACGAGCTTCTCACCTGTGCCAGTCTCCTGCCAACTTCTAACCTTAGACACCTGAGTGCCTGAAAGGAGAGGGGGATCTCAGCTGGAGACCTGAGGCTACAAACTATAGAGCAGAGTCCCGTTTTATTATTTTTATTTCAACATTTATTTGTACATATTTGTACATATTTGTGGGATATAGTATATTGTTTCCATACATGCATATACTGCGCAATGATTCACTTAGGGTAGACAACGTAGTTTTATACTTATTAGTCCACCACTTTTCCTCCACCCCCACCCCCCGACCTCTGATCACCATTATTCTACTCTCTACTTCTATGAGAATCACTTTTTTAGATTCTACATATAAACATATCATGCGGTATTTATCTTTTTGTGCTTGACTTACTTCACTTAGCATGATGAAGTCCCATCCATGTTGTTGCAAATGAAGGATATCATTTTTTTTTTGAACAGCTGAGTAGTATTACATTGTGTATATATACCACAGATTTTTATCCATTCATTCATTGATGGACATTTAGGTTGATTCCATCTCTTGGCTGTTATAAATAGTGCTGCCATGAACGTGGGAGTGTGGGTGTCTTTGTGATATATTGATTTCATTTCCTTTGGGTATGTACCCAGTAGTGGGATAGCTGGATTGTAGAGTAGATCTATTTTTAGTTCTCTGAGGAAGCTCCATACTGTTTTCCAGAGTGGATATAACAATTTACACTACCATCAGCAGTATAAGAAAGTTCCTTTTTTCCCACATCCTCACCAGCATTTGTTATTTTTTGTCTCCATTATATCTGGAGTAAGATGAAATCTCATTGTGGTTAATATACATTTCTCTGATGACTAGTGATGTCGAGCATTTTTTCATGTGCCTGTTGGCCATATGTATGCTTTCTTTTGAGAAATATCTGTCCAGGTCCTTTGCCCATTTTTTAATTGGGTTATTTGGATTTTTGCTGTTGAGTTGTTTAAGTTCCTTACATATTCTGTACATTAACCCCTTATCTAATGTGTAGTTGGCTTTCCCCCATTCTGTAGGTTGTCTCTTCACTTTGTTGACAGTGTCCCTTGCTGTGCAGAAGCTTTTTAGTTTGATGTAATCCCATTTGTGTATTTTTGCTTTTGTTGCTTGTGCCTTTGTAGTCTCATTCAAAAAACGCTGCCCACTCCCATTTCATGTAGATTTTCCCCTATGTTTTCTTCTGGGAGTTTCATAGTTTTGGGTTTTTGATCCATTTTGAGTTGATTCTTTGTGTAATGAGAAATAGGGGTCTAGTTTCAATCTTCTGCAGGTGAATATCCAGTTTTCCCAGCACCATTTGTTGAAGAGGATGCCCTTTCCCCAGTGTCTATTTTTGGCCCCTTTGTCAAAAATCAGTTGGCTGTAAGTGCATGGGTTTATTTTGGGGTTCTCTATTCTAGTCCATTGGTTAATGTGTCTGTTTTTGTACCAGTACCATGCTATTTTGGTTACTATAACTTTATAGCACATTTTGAAATCAGGAAGTGTGGTGCCTCCAGCTTTGTTCTTTTTGTTCAAGAATGCTTTTGCTACATGGGATCTTTTGTGGTTTTATACAAATTTTAAGATTGTTTTTCTATTTCTGTGAAGAATGTCATTGGTATTCTGATATGAATGCATAGATTGCTTTAGGTAATGTGGATGTTTTGATGATGTTAATTCTTCCAACCCATGAACAAGGAGTATCTTTCCATTTATATGTGTCCTCTTCAATTTTTTCCACCATTGTTTTATAGTTTTATACACACACACACACACACACACACACACACACACACACACACACACATAGGTCTTTCACTCCTACATATTTCATTTTTTTGGTGGCTATTGTGAATAGGATTACCTTGAATATTCATGAGGATAAGCAATTTGGCATTTAAAAGTCTGGTACACTGCCTTGCACACAGTAGACACTGAATTTTTTAGAGGAGGACAAGAAAAAGAAAGCTCCCATTCTTAATTATAGTATCTTTTTAATAGTGAAAGACATAATGTCATGAAGTAGGTAATAATTATTTTAAAGAAGTACTTTTTGAACCTCTCTACAAGATTCAAATTTGAGTTATCTTGGTTGTATTCATTTAAACTGATCTCTTCTTCTGTTCCCATCATGTATGTAAGTACATTGCATTCATGCATTAGACAAAATTAAACTCATGGCCTTTCATCTTTACAGACATATGTAGATGATGTATGAGAGATATATAGAATGAGCCTGTCATTTTCTGTTTAATATTTAGACAGTTTTGGCACCTCCCAGAAGCAAGAGCTACAGAGAGAGAAGTGGGAGAGGAACAACGTGCCCAGCAGAAGCCTCTCTCGGCGTTCCATCAGCAGGGAGAGGTGGGTGGAGACACTGGTGGTGGCCGACACGAAGATGGTCGAGTATCACGGCAGTGAGAACGTGGAGTCCTACATCCTCACCATCATGAACATGGTATGCCAAGCCAGACTGCATGGGTGAGGGGCAGCTGGTGAATAAATGTCATTTGAATAGATATCTACCCCCACAGAAAAAAAAAGAGATACTTTTTTTTGCCCTTTTAACTTATTTTACATTCATACGTAAATATGAGTCTATTCCCTGCTTAAGTGAATAAGGATGGAAATTCAGGACAAATTCTTCTTTCTCTTAAAAATGTGTATCCTGGGAAAAATTTGTAATTTATCATTTACATATTTCTATTAGATATTTACCAAGTGACTTTATCCTTTTAGTATGACTTTATCTCCTTGGTTCATGATAGTGCACAAATGAGTAAACTGAGGCAAAGAACTGGAACATAGTGTCCTCAAGATAGTTAGAGTTGGAATTGGAATAACATTAATGACCCCTAATTTTAAGCTTTCCCCTTGTGTTATTGATGTTTTCTGCCTTCCCAGACAAGGCGTTAGTCCTGTCAAAATGGGGAAAGGTATTTGTCTGAGTAAATGATAATAAAAGAGAGGAAGACCCAGGTCTAGGGAAAGGATAAAAGGAAAGAAAGGCATCAACCCCTCAATCACAAAGCCAATCAATTACCCTGAAAGGTTGTTTGAAAATATCATAATATGAATTGGACCAGGGGCATATCTCACTCACCTTTGCACTCCACCAAAAATCTCTGACCTATAAGATAACCCTTATTTAAGTATATAACAATGCTGTTTTTTCCCTCTTGCATTTATCTATTATTGATTCATTTGGGGCTAATGGGTTTCCATTTCTGACTCCAGGTCACTGGGTTGTTCCATAACCCAAGTATTGGCAACGCAATTCACATTGTCGTGGTTCGGCTCATTCTCCTTGAAGAAGAAGAGGTATGCAATAGTTTTCTCTCCACTTTTCCACCCTGTATCCTCACACTTTCTACCTCCTTTCTTTAGGAGCTCTCCTGATAGACAAGGAAGAGGGTACCAGAAAGGTGTCTACAAGCCCATTAAGAAAGAAACTATTATTTCTGTATTATATTCTTGGGAATTCAGTGATGTTGAGTGGGAGATGGAGAAGATTTCCAAGATACATATAGTTGGAATCACCTGGCAGTCGTTGCATTACACATACAAATCAGACTAACAGCAGTCACTGAGAATGTCCCGTGGTGGAAATAGACTAAATCATGATATGATTGGATGATTTAAATAAAAGTTAGGACAGACATGGAAATGTCGAAGTTTTTATACTGTTAATTTACCTCTTGTATATTAGCACGTCTCAGGTTTGGGCCCTCTGCACTTTTACCTTTGAGGGTTTCATCTACTCTCAGAGACATATTGACATGATGAGTCTCCCAGTTGATACTGTAAGCCTCTTCCTCAAGCTCCGGACTCGTATCCAATCGCTTACTCGACATCTCAGTCTGGATGTGTCATATATTCCACTCAATCTTGGAAACTTAATGAGTCCAAAATGGAATTCCTAATTACTCACTGCCCAAATCTTCTCAGTTCTGCCTCCCCAGGACCCAACCCACCATCTTACCCATCTCAGTAAATAGTGCTACTATGCACTGGGTTGCATAAGCCTAGGAGTCATTCCTCTTTTTTTTAATCTTCCTCATCTAATAGCAAGGCCCACAGTGGTCCTACCTTCAAAAGACATCTCAAAATCATTCACTGTTCATCACCTCTACAGTCATCACATTGGCTTGGCCTTATTATGTCTTGTCTAGGCTACTGCAGTGAACTCCTAATGGTGTTCCTGTTTTCAGCCTAGACTTCCATAATCCATTCTCCATGGACAATCATTTTAAATACAGCCAGAAGTCATCTTAAATACAAACCAAGCTTCTCCACTGCACAAAACCCTTTCATGGATTTCTGTTCTTTTAGAACAAATTCAGAATTTCTTCTGTGATCTGAAGAGACTTTATGATCTTGCCTCCACCCACCTTTCTGGTTTTTCCTTCTGTTACTCTTTCCCTTGCTTCCTCGTACTCACTGGGCTCCAGATAGGTTATGGAACACTCGTGGCCTGTGCGCTTATGGTTCCCAGTGCTTGAAACCTCCCTCCCCTGGTTCTGCTCATGGCAGGCAGCTTCTCATTCCTCAGGCCTCTTCACAGAGGTGTCGATGACCAACCAACTCACAGCTAGCTCCTCTTGCTGTTCTCCATTACAGAAGGGTAGCACTCTCACGATTTGTTCTTAGTCTGTATATTTGTTTATTCTTTTCTTGCTTATCTCACCCACTACCAGAATGTGAATTTCATGAGGGCAGAAACCGTGTTTATTTGTTCTCTGTTATATTCCCAGCACCTAACACAGTGCCTGAGATATGAATGAATAAATACATGAAGGAATGAAGTTAAGTTTAATGAATGAAGAAACCAGCCATCCTGATGAAATGGCCTTGTAGTCTGTGGACCTTAATCCACAGCTGAGATATGTGAAGAAGGGCATTGTTCAGATTTCCATCAGCACAAGACCTGAGGTCAAAACGCCAAGGCAGGGCTTACTGTTTTCTTGGCAGGAGAAGGCTCAAAGTCAGAAGATTTTTTTAAATATGGTCTCCAGAGCCTGGATCCCTTTGCCTTCTCTCCTGTACCAGCCCCATGTCCCTTCATCACCCGAGACATACTTTGGGTATCTTGTAACACCAACAGATTTGTTATTTCCCTTCCTGTGATCCTTTTGTTAAGAAAATGTATCTGAAACTTGGACACCAGGCAAAACAAAAACTACGTATCCTTTCAATGTCTAACATGACCTATCTGATGCGATGGGAATGTAACATGATTTGATTATTATTCACTATTGATTAAGGCCCAGATATGGTAAAGTTAGATTCTGACTTCTAGAAAACTCATAGGGTACACAAAAAAAACTACGTATCCTTTCAATGTCTAACATGACCTATCTGATGCGATGGGAATGTAACATGATTTGATTATTATTCACTATCGATTAAGGCCCAGATATGGTAAAGTTAGATTCTGACTTCTAGAAAACTCATAGGGTACACAATGGAAGATTATGGTTTTCTTGGTCTGTGGAATATCAACTAATTTCATATCTAATTTAGCAATCTTTTTCCAAAATTTTTTCTCACTGGCTACAGTTGAATCAGTTTCTGGTATCTGCCTTTGAACCAGCTTTTCCATCTTGCCTGTGTGTTAAATATATCTTTGACATTTGCTCACTATTTGTATGAGAGTATTACATATTTGTATGAGAATTATGTTTTTAACTTTTTGAAAATTATACTTTAATACCTTGGAGTACAAATTTTCACTATTTCATAATGGTCGAGCATATGTGCATGCTCAGATACAGATGTATGGAAAGATTTAGGGTTTTCAGACCCCCTTAAAGGAAGATTCTTCTAGATGTGAGAAGGAAAAATCTTCACTGTCTACTGTCCCATCAGAACCACTGGGAGGACTTCAAAATATAGCTTTCATGGATCAGGCCCCTTAGAATTTCACACCTCTTTATTCACAGGAAACAATGTCACTGGGCCAATGCCTTGCTGCCAGTGGAGTTCTTTGGAAGAATTCTATTGGCCACTTCCCCCTGACTCTATCACAATCACATTGTTTTTCTATCTCCACCTGATTTTGCAAGTGCAAGGGTCACCAATGGTTTGCTTCAGAATGTCATGGCATACTCCACCTCAAACTTGCCAGACATTGTCCTCATCCAGCTTTCTACAGAATCTCTTAGTGGTACAAGGTTTCCAAGTTGGCAACAGAATTATTATCTCATTAGAGAACTGCAATTCACAATTTTCATATTTCTGATTCCCAGAAAATAGCTCAAACTATTTTTCACATCTTTGACTAATGAGCAGCCCCAACACAGCAAACAGCAATGATTCCAGCCTTACATAATATCAGGGTGGCAGATATAGGCAGGAAGTACATTGTGAGGTTCTGGGCTGTCACTACTTTGAGCAAGGACACCTGAGTTCTCATTTGCCTCTGTCATCATACAGTAGGCAACTCTGAAAAAAGTCACATCAGACTTTTGCTCTGTGGTCCATTTTTCTTCATCTGCAAATGAGAAGAGAGTTGTGCATCAGCGATATGTCAAGCTCTGCACTAACCACTGGTAATACAAATAAGAATAAGTTCCATTTCCTGATTCTCAGAAACTTAGAGTCTACAGCACAAAAGCACAAAGATAGAAAATTTCAAGTTGAGGTTGCTGTCAGTATGAAAAAGTACCTGGGGGCTGGCCAGTTAGCTCATTTGGTTAGAGCACAGAGCTAACATCAAGATCAAGGGTTTGGATCCCCATACTGGCCAGCTGCCAAAACAAAACAGAAAGTGTACCTGGGATAAGAAAGGTACTTGGATATCAAGGCCAGGTTTTAAAGGAGGAGAAGGAATCAACCAGTAAGGAACAACATTCCAGGTAGAGCAACCTGCATGAGCAATGGCTTTAGTGCTTAAAGTAGCACTTCGCATCTGAGGAGCAGTGAACACATCACAATATTGGACCACAAAATGGGAGGCCGAGAAACCTTGTGATAAAAATAAAACAATCTGATTGTGCTGGAGGCAGAAGAGAAAGTAGCCAATCAAAACCTGCCCAACTCCACTCACACCTAGTTTTGTTCCAGGGTTGCCTGTTTCCGTGTGTGACATCATCATCCTTCCAGGTGTAGACGCCAGAGATCTGGAAGCCATCCATGACACCTTCTTCTCTCCCTCCCGTATCCAGTCCATCGTCAGGTGTTTTCCATTTTAACTGACCATCTCCACTTCCATCACTTCAATGCAAGCTACAGTTATCTCTTTCCTGGACTATAGTTGTATATTCTTTCTGGTCTACTTAAAATCAGTTGGATTCATTTATATCTTGTTTTCTCATTGCAGCCTGGACGATCCAAAATGATAATTGGATCGTATCTACCCTACTGCCTTTCTTTATCCCCCAGCCCTGGATTAAAGCATTCCAATGGTTTCTGACTCCCTCCCTCCTTTATTTCTTGCCGTGCCCCCCTAGCTCTCAGCATATAGCAGTGATCTGGTATTCATATGCTTTTTCAAGTCCTGCCACTGGTCTTGCTGCTGCCTGGACAGTCTTCCCTCTTGTCTTCACTTAGTTAACACCTTAATCCCTCAGATCTCAGCTCAAGTGTCACTTCCTTGGGGAAACCTTCCCTGACCTCCATGCCCAATGAGATTTGATTATACACTCCCATAACACTGTGCATTTCTCTTTCAGAGCACGTATCACAGTTGTTATTTCACATCTGTTAGAATGAGGCAGTTTTCTCCATTAGTTTGAAAGACTTAAGAGCAGAAGTAAGGTCTGGGGTAACTCACCATTCAACTCTACTGGTCCATAATAGACCCTCAATAAATATTTGTCCAAATACTAAATAAGAGAAAGAGTGTATGAATGAGGCAAGGAGTCACTTGGTGGAGGGGAGGGTCAACAGCTGCCAAGTCACAATGGGCCTTGTAGCTACATAAAGGGGTTTGGATCTAATCCTATGGGATATTCTGATAGTTCCAAACCAACAAATGAAATTGAATGTTGTCTGGAGCAGTAATAAAGTAACACTTTGCTGATTAAAATCTCTTAAAACATAACAATGGTGTAAATAAAGTAAAAACAACAATAACAAAAAAGAAACTAGAGAGACCATTCTGAGGAAAATGCTTGAGGTGGGGGATACTGAGGCAGGCCACTGAGGTTGGTCTCTTTTATAAGGGACTTTCTAGAACTCGTGTCTATCTTACTCTATTCACATCTGACAGCTAACACCATTTTGGGCTTTATTTTTCTATGGTGGATTCCAGAGCCTTCAAGGTTAAACTACATAAAATGCATAAAATACATAAAATGCAGCTTCTATTTGGCCATGTA